TTTCTTGCAAGTGCAGAATGAATATTATGTGGCATCTGCAACAGTACTAATTCCCCAGACTGGAGTGGTCGAATGGAGGTCATGCAAGTTCTGATTCTAGGAGGAGAATTTCAGGTTCATAAAAGGAGGAACATGAACCTTGTTAACTAGTGAAGTATTTGAATTATGCACTTCAGTGACATTTTGTGGCAAATGGCAGGAAATATCTAACAGTTTCAAGAACAGTTATTCTCGATATCTCTCCCACCATCATCACTTTCTTCAGTTTTTCACTCTCTTTTGAACTCAGGAAGCCATCCCTTTCGCATGCAGAGATTCTTTTCACATGGAACAATGTCCCATTAATGTCAGACACATTCATGTTTATACTGACAAGTCTGGCAAAACATAAGTGATGGAGAGCAAGCCTTGAAGAGATTGTAGCGTTGTCCCTGTCGGTACAATTTTTCATTCCTTATAAACAGGAAAAGGGTAGACATGAAAGTTTGAATGTGATTTCTTACACTATATTTTTCAGAGTGACAAAATCTTGTTTCTGATTCCCCCTCCCTGGATAGATAGTTATTGTGGGGAAAATTCAAAATCTACCTAGCGTGCATTTCCCCCACTCCAAATTAGGCAAACCTAACTTGTGCAAGACAGTAGTTCAGTTGTGAGTCAACAAGTAATGAAGTGATGAGAGACCAAGTGCTAATTCATCAATCTCTAAATCCTGCTGAAATCAGTGGTGTTGATTGTCAGGAGCTCGTCCTACACTCTGGTAGGACCCTGGCAGAGACACATGCCCAACTGGCATGTTCTCTCCCTCCTGGTTGATTGACCAGGAGCTTCAAAAGCTTTCTTCAGCCCGAACATCACAGCGACCGATGCCAACAGACATCGGCACACTTTAGGGATCCACAGAGTGTTCACAGTTTGCGTGACAGACCTCAGCAACTCAGCATTTTGGCTAATCTACTTTATTTACATATAAACACACGGAGCACTGCAACATGGCTCCCTCTCTCTCTAGCATCAGACACCACAGAGAAAAAGAACAACGGACAATAGTCCCACTTCATGGAACACAGTAACACAAACATCCTGTCTCCGTCACTTCCCACTCTGTGGAGTCAAAACATATACCGTCATGTGAAAGACAAAGAACCCATGACTGCAATCACGGAGCCGGAATTCTAACATTGATTTCAGTAGGATTTAGAAATGGAACTATACAAATCATTAGAATTTTTGTTGATTTGTATGTTCCTAGTCTACAAAAGCATATCTGATAAATGGTCATAAGGTTCCTGGCCTGCAGCACTTCAGACTGCAAATGGGAATCAGGAAGATATACAGGTAGATAGACAAAAGTGCTGAAGCAAAACATTTCAGCTTCTGCCTTCTTCAGCTTCTTTCTTAAGAACATGAGTCTGTTATCCCTTTCTCTTCTCTCTTTCAAAGTTTAATGAGTTTCTTATTCTCTTTACTTTTTTAAATGCATTGTTACACATGTACATACTTATTTTACAGGAAAGACTATATAGCTCAGTGGTACAGCATCTGTCTTGTGTGCAGACAGTCCCAGGTTCCATTCTCAGCATCTCAAAGTAGGGCTGGGATTGTCAACTGCTTGAAACTGTACAAAGGTGCTGCCATTCAGAGTAGACAACACTGACTTATATGAACCAGTGGTCTGCCCTGATATAAGGCAGCACACTATATTTCTACAGTGAGGATAGAAATAATATCCTCTACAGAGGATAAATAATATTACAATGTATTTCAGTTTTAGCAAGTGTAGGGAATTTTTAGAAATTCAGAAAGCACTCAGATATGTCATTTCCCTTTCTTGCAGTAAGTAACAAAGCCCTGCAAGAGCTGTATCACATGGTAGGCGACTTCCAAATCTGTCACACATCTGATTTGGGACACAATCTATGAGGGAATTCTCCTCTGCATTTTCTGTTGAAAGGAATGGGAGTCTGATATTTCCTGAGCAGCTCAGTTTTTCCTCTTGCACTTTTTCCATATTCACTTTTCTGCAATAAAAGAGAGAAAAACCTGAGGCAGGTGTATTGTTTACTTCATGTACTTCCTGAAGTCAAGTTGATTTAAAATACTCCATGGAAAGTTGTTATTTGGTGGACTCTGAAGTGCAATTCTACCACAAGTGCAACATTGTACAGCTGTACAGTCTCACTCAACAAAGCTGTTTATGTACCGAAGAGTCAAAATTCTGCTGACTTTCTTTACAAAAGTTGGATTTTACTATTTGTTTACTCCCACACGTATCATGATGCCAAGAAGGTCAGAAAGAACAGAAATAAACAAGTCTGGTTTGCATTCCTGACAGAGGACAAGTCACCTGGAGCCAAACATTTTAATCAAGAGACGTGAATAGATTGCTTCCAACTAGGAAGATGGCAGCCATCAGTGCATAGGCAACTGTGAAACATCACCTGCCACCCGGATCATTAAGACAGTATAAGTAAAACTATAACAAATCTACAGATTACAAGAAGTGAGTTGCAATTTAGCAAATTTGCATGACAAATTAAAATATATATCAACTGAAATATAAAACACAATCCGAGATTGTGATGAGGTACTACAAATCATTCAGTGGGGACTGTGGAATGACAGCCTTACATTTTTGCATCTATATGGGAAAATGTATATAGGAAGAAATATTGTGGAACTCTAATCTCTGTGTTTATACAGTCAGCATGTGTGGTTACACAGACATCTGTGATTTTGCTTTGCAGACATTCAGTCTGTCTTGATGGAGGCATGAGCTTTTTATGTATGCTCAGTATGAATATCTGCATGGATTGGTGGGTGTGCCTGGAATATGCATTTTAGACAGTTAAAAAATATAGACATGAATGAAATGGACTAGTTTATGTATATGTATATAATAAAAATCCTGATGTAGTTTGAGAGTTAAGGGGATAACTTGTGAAAGCATGCCCATCTGGGGATCAAACTGGGAAAGCGTGTTCTCCCTAACAGAGAGCACGTGTTGCGGTTGGGGGAACAAGCCACCCTGCCTGTTACCGGGCAGAATTTTGGAGGAACCCAAGCCTTTAAGTGAAAAAATTGGGTTGCTGGGGAGTTTTGATTGTTGCCAATTTGGAGGAGGGGTCAGAGGCTTTAAATACAGGGGCCAGACATTGGCTCGTCCTCTTGGCCATTTTGCACCGGATCACGGAGCAGTTGGAGCCTCGAGACGGTTGTATTGCGTTTGCTGATTTTATTCTACTGCCTTTTAGACCTTATTTCTTCCCGGTTTTTCCTATAATTCCCTCTTTCCCACCTCCCTTTTCGCCTTTTATTCCCCTTTTACTTTCTACCTTACTAGTTCAATTTTTAATTTCCGGCGTTCCCTAGTTTTATTTAAAGACAAAGAAAGAGCGCGAGGGTGGGAATCCCCCCCCCAGCCCCGGGCGGCTTTGCCTTTCTCGGCTGCCGTCGGGCCTAGCTCGACCAGACCCCCCCCCTTTTTATTTGGCCTTTAAGGCGCAGCGTCGGGCCTTGCGCTGCTGCAGAGTTGTTTTTGGGTGGGGGGGCTCTTCCCCGTGGGGAGAAGATTGCGGCTGGCCTCCCCAGGCCGCGGGAGCATCCCGCCCCCGCCCCCCCATTTTTTCGTTTTTCCGCAGCGCCGGGTATCGCGGCTGCGGAGCTCTTTGGGGCCGAGGGGCTTACCTTTGGGCCTCCCTGCTTGCCGCGGTCGTAGTTTAGGTGCCCGGCCGTTGCTGGGGCCGTTCCCGCGTTGCCCCCGTAGCGCTTAGGGACGCTTATTTTAGCGGCGCGGGGGGGGTGCGGGGGGGCGGCTGCCTCCTTTTGGGCTCCTTGCGAGCGCTTTGGGAGCTCCGCCGCAGGCCGCCAATTGCGGCAGTGCAGTTGAGGCCTTTTCGGGCCTATAGGCCCTGCAGCGTGCTGTGCGCCAGGCAGTGAATTGCACACTCATCCTGGGGCCCTCCATTTTGTGTGGGTGCGTTGGTGGCTCGCTCGAGTGAGAGCTGGCCTGCAATTATTTTGTCTGCCTGTCGGCCCTCTAGTGGCCACTTGGTGCTATTGCAGCTCGGCTGGGGGTTAGCTCCCCCAGTGGCCGGCTGCGTTACTGCAGCTCCCTTGTGAGCCTGGGCCAGCCGGGGACTCCTGCTGGCTGATCAGTGGAAGTGCACCCCCTTTTCTATAATTATATAGAAATAGTTATAACTCTTTTAGCCAGTTCCATTCTGGTTTGTTGGTTTAACTTAATTAGTTTAAATTTAATTTGATCTGGTTGCTCGGGTTTTTTCAGGAATTTTAATTTAGTTCACTTTTATTTTAAAATAATTATTGTTTTATTTAATTTTATTTAATTAATTCATTATTATTTAATCTTAATTAATTAATTTATTATTATTGAATCTTAATTAATTAATTTATTATTATTTAATTTTTAGTTAATTTAATTTTTTATTATAATTTTTAATTTTTTATTTTATTCCCCCCCCCCCCAAATCTGTGATCAGGAGGCTGTGGTACTTCCTTAATTTATCTGTTATACAGTGATCACGGACGAGTATTGGTAATTGTCATTTAAATCAACGCTCTGCGGCTTGTTATAATTTTTCTTTTATTTTCCAGTTAGCAGGCTATGGCGCCAAAGAAGGCACCTGCCCGCCCTGGCCCATCCTCCTCCTCAAAACGGCCTATTAGAGGCCCATCTCAGGCACTTCGTTCCCCCACCCCATGTCAACCTGTGGGGCGAGTGCAATCTTCGGTGGAAAGCATGGCCGGTGACCCAGCAGCCCTGTCTCGCTTTGCGGCTGAAATGGACGGTTTCCTTCAACATTGCTCCACCCAGCCTCTTGCGTCTGGAAGATCGTTTCATCCTGTAATGGTGTCCTCTCCGGTTTCACCGTCATCTAGTGAAGAAGGGAGAGAGGGGTCGCCTTCGGGGGGTTTGCTGCTGGACCCCCAGTTAGCTCAGTGCCCCGAATTACCTGTAGTTCGGGACCCTTCTGGGAGGATGGGTCGTCCTACCAGGAGGGCGTCTGGGAGAAGGGGCCCTTCGGCAGCCTCCTCCCGCCGGGGTACGCCTGTTCAGCCTTCGGCGGAAGTGGCGTCGGGTTCTGGCCCCTCACGTGTTGTTTCTCGGCAGTCGGTTCCAGGTGCATCACGGCCAAGTCTTGATTCTGGGTCTTCTATTGAAGACAATCTACCAGTACCTGCCAGGAAGTCTTCGGGCGGGAAGCGTCGCCGAAGGAGGTCTTCCCGGAAGCGTGCCAAGCGGAGGAGGGAGGACTCATCTTCATCTTATGCTGGTACGTCATCTTCTAGTTCTGACGATGAGGCGGGTAATTCAATGGAACTTTACTGGGGTTATGGAGAAGCGGCTTCGGGGCTCCCTCGTTGGGCCTGGGAACGAAGGGCCAACACGCATCGTGCAAAGTATGGGGCTGTCCAAGAATGTAGGGACGGTGTCTTGGTACCTGACGTTAAGGTCGCTACCAATTCGGCCAGGGATATCATACCTGGTACGCATTTGTCTACAAAACTGCGGTCCAGGATATTGAATGGCCGCTATGTAGACATTTTCAAATTGGCCCCACCTTCGGAGGATCAGGAGAAGGGAAACCATTCCAGGAAACGCCCTGGCGCATCCTCTGTAGACAGGACATTTGAACTTTGGCTCGATTGTTTCCAGGTCTTTGCTGGTGTGGTCGTGGCAGCTTACCCTCGGAGATCTCTTCATTTAATAGTTTATCTATCCATTGTTCGCTCCGCCTTTACCAAAGCTGGTGAAAAGGCTGCGATCAAATATGATGAGAACTTCAGGCGCCGTGCTGCCAGGATCCCCTCAGCCCGTTGGGATCGTAAGGATCTAGATGTGTGGACCACTTACGTGGCCCCACTTATGGATAAAAAGGTGCCGGAACAACAGAAGTCGAAGACCGCGGCCTTTAAATCTGGCCGTCGTCTGCTATGTTGGGACTTTAATAAGGGCTCTTGTCAGCGCCAGGGGTGCAAGTATGCTCACATGTGCGAGAAGTGCAATGGTTGGCATGCCGCTTCCTCTTGTTTTGGTGGTCGGAGGCCCTTTCGGGGGGGTAGAGGGGGTTCCCAGCAACCCCCCAAGTCAGCCCCCCCCCCTCCTCAACCTCTGGAACAGGGAAGTAACGTATTGACCTCCTTGGCCCATGCTCCGGTTCGTTTACTGGCCCTGCAAAGTTGGTTGCAGTATTACCCCAATAGGGTTGCGGCATCTTATTTGAATGATGGTTTTTCTGTTGGTTTCAGGATTCCAGTAGCCATGCCTCCCGTGGCACGGAATCCTTCAAACCAAAAATCTGTTCGCGAGCTACCCGAGGTAGCCCGCAAAAAGATTGCAAAGGAGGTGGCCATGCATCGTATGGCTGGTCCGTTCGGCTCCCCCCCCTTCCACAATCTGCATGTATCCCCACTGGGTATCGTGCCGAAGAAAACGCCAGGCGAATTTCGTTTAATTCATAATCTATCACATCCCAGGGGTACCTCGGTCAACGATGTTATTCCTCCGGACCTTTGCTCCGTAAGGTATGCTTCTCTTGATCAGGCAATCAAGATGATTCGGGGGTTCGGCCACGCTGCTTTATTGGCAAAATGCGATATTGAATCGGCCTTCCGCCTACTGCCAATTCATCCGGAGGATTTTTGGCTGCTGGGTTTCAAGTTCGAGAGCAATTATTACTTTGGCAAAGCCATGCCTATGGGCTGTTCTGTAGCGTGCGCCGCTTTCGAATCGTTCAGCACCTTTTTGGAGTGGGCCCTCAAATTTAAAACTGGACTGGGCGGAGTCACGCATTATTTGGATGATTTTTTATTGGCCTCGGCTTGCGATACCGGCAATTGCTCGGTGTTGCTGCAGGCTTTTGCTGACCTTACGCGGGAACTGGGGGTTCCGCTCACTGCGGGAAAGACTGAGGGCCCTTCGACCCAGCTTACTTACCTGGGTATCCTTTTGGATACGGTTTCCCAAACTTCCAGCTTGCCAAAGGATAAGCTGGTAGCCTTGAAGAAGGTTATAGAGGAATTGCTCCCTCTGAAGAAGGTGTCCCTTAGGCAACTTCAGTCGCTTTTAGGGCACTTGAATTTCGCGTGCAGGGTGGTGGCTCCTGGGCGCCCCTTCTGTTCACGCCTGGCTCGACTCACCGCAGGGTTGAGGGCCCCACATCATCGAGTGCGCCTTTCTACTGAGGTGAAGGCTGACCTTAGAATCTGGCTGGAATTCCTGGAGGAATTCAACGGGGTGTCGTTATGGCAAGACACGTTAAATTTACATAATGACTTCCAGGTACAGTCTGATGCTGCGGGTTCCCTAGGCTTCGGACTTTACTGGAAAGGCCGATGGTGCGCCAAGCATTGGCCGTCCGCGTGGCAGGGAGGAGAGATTACGCGGGACCTAACTTTTCTCGAGTTTTTTCCCATTGCAGTGGCAGTGCATTTGTGGGTCGAGGAGTTCAGGAACCGTCGTGTCTGCTTCTGGACCGATAACCAGGCGGTGGTGACCGTGCTGGCCAAACTGTCATCACGCTCCCCCAGGGTGTCGGCCCTATTGCGGGCATTTGTGTTGCATTGCTTACGTTGTAATATAGTGTTTTCGGCACGTTTTATTCCTGGGGTGTCTAACGAAATTGCTGATGCTCTGTCACGTTTTCAGATGAAGCGGTTCAGACTCCTGGTTCCAGAGGCACGGATACGTCCGGAATATTTCCCGGATCATCTCTGGAACCTTGGCAGCAATTAGTTTTGCAGGGAGTAGCGGCATCTGTTTCCCCTTCTACCCTCAGATCGTATACAAAAGCTTGGACTGACTTTTTGGCATTCATGCGTCAGTCGGCCAGCGAATTAAGAGGGGTCCCGCCTACCTCTTCGCAGGTTTTAAAATATCTGGCGCACCTATTTCAATTGGGGCGTGCAGCTAAGACAATTAGGATACAATCAGCTGCTATATCATTTTTCTGTAAAGCATTTTTTGATAAAGATCCTTGCGCGAAGTTCATTGTACGCAAGGCACTTGAGGGTTGGGGTAGACTTTGTCCTTCCCGACCAGCAACTCGGCGCCCCATTTCATTTGACTTGTTGAGCAGGATGCGCAAAAAGTTGCGGATGGTGTGCTGGTCGGGGTATGAGGCTCGCCTTTTTTTGGCCGCCTTTTCTATTGCCTTCTTCGGAGCGTTGAGAGTGGGTGAGATTGTGGTGGAGGAGCACAGGGATGGCCGTTCTAGGGGTCTTTTGCTTCAGGACATGCAGTTATCCCCCGCAGAACTGAGAATTACAGTTAGGAATTCAAAGACAGACCAGAAGGGTAAGGGTGCCCTCATTCGTCTCCCGGCCACGGGAGAAGCAGGCCCTTGCCCTGTAAAAGATGTTAACAAGTACCTGGCGGTGCGCACCCCAGGGGATGGGCCTCTGTTCCGGCATGAGAATGGGTTGCCCCTATCAAGGCACCAATTTGCAAAGGTGATGCGTAAGGCGATTCTGGCTTGTGGCGGCACGGCCTATGGTTTTGCCCCCCATTCTTTTAGGATAGGGGCTGCCACGACGGCAGCTCACTGGGGCTTGTCAGCCGCCAGAATAAAGAACTTGGGTCGTTGGAAATCAAATGCGTTTAGAGGTTATGTACGCTAACAATATTGGTATCTTACATTTTGCTTTTTATCTCAGGTTTAGCGGCTATCCGCATCTGGATGGTGGGGCACAGCATCATCCATTGGGCTGGTGTCGCGGCACGGCAGTCCGGATTGGGTCCAGGTCTCGGCCTCCCTCCACATGTTCAGTTGTCTTGGCTGGCCAGACGGGGAATGCGCTGGTCGGAGTTCCTGCCACGGATCCAGAGGCAGTTGATCTTAAAAGGGCCGCCCACGGCTATTGTGGTACAGCTGGGTGAGAACGACCTGGTTTCCATGGACTGTTTTTCGCTACGTGCTGCAATTTTGGGTGACCTGGAGACGCTGCGAGCACTGGTGCCGTCAGCAAAAATATTTTGGTCAAAGCTTTTGCAACGACGCGTTTGGAGAGGTAGTCGTTGCCCAGCCGCTACTGAAAGGGCCAGAAAACGCATCAATTCTGCTGTGTCTAAAAAGATTTTTGAGCTGGGCGGTGATGTGATTTCCCACCCTGAGATTCTTTTTCAGGCTGCAACCCTTTTCAGAGCTGATGGCGTGCACCTTTCTGCCTCAGGGAATGAGGCTTGGCTGGGTGCAGTGGTGGCCAAGCTGAGGTCTTGGTTGGGTTTGTGAGTGGTTTGGCGGGGAGCTGTGGGCTCCATGGCGGTTAGGCATTGGTTAAATTGGTGCTTGGAGGGGTAAGTGCCTACCCCTCCAAATGTTGCGGAAAGGGAATTCCGTTAAAGGAATCCAGGGGCTTGCCATTCTTTTCGTCCTTGTCCCTGGAATCGGACTTGGGCCGTGCAAGCCCCACAGGAACATGAGGGTGAGAAGTGAGGGACTGATTCCCAGCTTCATTCTCTCACCCAATACTTGTTTCCCACGCTGGCTTCCGGTGGTGTCCGGACGGCCAGCGCTGTCCTTGAGGGCAAGGACAGATAGTCATAACCAATGCCTACGCAACCACTCACATTTTTTGTATTTGAATAAAGTTGTGGCCAAAATTATGCCAAAAACCTTAAACAAAAATTGATGTGTGAAGTGTGAATTTTTTGGGGTGGACTTGTGGGACTCAACACGCAAAGCGTGTTCTCCCTAACAGAGAGCACGTGTTGCGGTTGGGGGAACAAGCCACCATGCCTGTTACTGGGCAGAAGTTGGAGGAACCCAAGCCTTTAAGTGGAAGTTGGGTTGCTGGGGAGTTTTGATTGTTGCCAATTTGGAGGAGGGGTCAGAGGCTTTAAATACAGGGGCCAGACATTGGCTCATCCTCTTGGCCATTTTGCACCGGATCACCCGCCCTCCCTCCCTTTAATAGGGTGGTTTTTTCTTGAGCACTGACCTTGCTATGCCTGTCATGGGGTCGTCCGCCTTGGAGCGGGGGCCTGGTAGGAATTTTGCCATCTGGCTGATTGGCTGGTGCCATTTGGTTTTTGCCTACTGCGTAGCAAATCGTCACAACTTGTAAGGTTGGCGGTTAGGCATTGGTTAAATTGGTGCTTGGAGGGGTAAGTGCCTACCCCTCCAAATGGTGCGGAAAGGGAATTCCGTTAAAGGAATCCAGGGGCTTGCCATTCTTTTCGTCCTTGTCCCTGGAATCGGACTTGGGCCGTGCAAGCCCCACAGGAACATGAGGGTGAGAAGTGAGGGACTGATTCCCAGCTTCATTCTCTCACCCAATACTTGTTTCCCACGCTGGCTTCCGTTGGTGTCCGGAAGGGCCAGCTCTGTCCTTGAGGGCAAGGACAGATAGTCATAACCAATGCCTACGCAACCACTCACATTTTTTGTATTTGAATAAAGTTGTGGCCAAAATTATGCCAAAAACCTTAAACAAAAATTGATGTGTGAAGTGTGAATTTTTTGGGGTGGACTTGTGGGACTCAACACGCAAACAGGAAGATCACTGACAAAGGTACAGATTATACATAGGCAATGGCTGTAGCTGGGATTAAGACTTTCCTACTTCCTTGAGGTTTGTGGACTAGCATACCAGGGAGTCACATAGCCCAAAGGTACCTGATTCAAGAAAGGCTGATCAGGCTGAATCTCAACCAAGTGTGTTACTCTGCCAGGCTGTAGAAAGGGGAAGGGAGGCCTGCAAATTGTGAGCTTAGGGATGTCTAGTTAGGGAAAGCTGGATGCCATTTCTCATACAGCAATGTCTTCTGTTTCTGGAAACAGACTTCCTCTTCCTCTTTCCATTTGTGAAAAATCCTCAGGGCAGCTTATAATACAAATTGGAAAACATGAAAAGAAAATACTAATAAGTAAATCATATACTGGACAAACCTTCAATACTTCAAGGAGGCAGTGATGGCCACCATCTTGGATGTCTTTAAAAGAGGGTTCAACAAATTCAGGGAGGAGAGGACTGTGGTGGCTATACTGTGCCCCTACAGCTGGAGGCAGTAACGCTTCCAAATACCAGTTGCTGGAGACCACAGGTAGAGAGTCCTCTTGTGCTCGAGTCTTGCTTGAGAGAGTCCTACAGGCATCTGTTTGGTCACTGTGAGAACAGGATACTGGTCCACTGGTCCAGCTGACTCTTCTTATGTCCAGCAAAACCCTATAAAGGTGTAAAAGCAACTGCTGTTCATTGAAAGCTTGAGAAAACAGGACAGTCTTTGTCACCTAAGTGACACTGTCTATGATTCGAGGCCAACTTTCCTAAGGTGGTGGTTCTAAAGTCAGGTGCTACCACTGAAAAAGCCATGTCTCTTGCAGCAAGCTCATATGGAAGCAGATTGTACAACCTGCCTACTATATCTGGAATGCACTGGGAAATGTTTAATGACAGTAACATGTAAACTCACCAGATCTCTTAGCAACTTCCATATTTGCTAATACAAACGAAATAAGATGTTCATGGATTTTCATTCTCTACTGTCAAAAAGAAGAGAGATATCCAATTAAAGGATCATATTAGTCATGCTACTACACATTATTAGCTTTAAATATGAAGAATTTACCAAGCTAACAGGGATAAAAATGCTAAATGTTTTAGGATTGTGGTGGTGCCATTACAATTGATTTCAAGGCAATGTCAATGCTTTCCGAGGGAGGGACCCATTCTATTGTTCCCTGTGAAGGAACGATAACATTTCTTCCAATGAAACATTATCCAATTTACTTTCCCATCCCTTCATAACATATAAGAAATATTACAGATTCCCTTTGCTCTAAGAAACTACCCATGATATTATTTTATATGTATCTTTCTGGGAAAACACACATATTATTTTAAGGGAGCTAAGTCACTTGGAGAGCCAGCTTGAGAGATAAGTGGAAATATAAGGTGTATAGATCTATGCCAAACCTATTTAGCTTCAGGCCATAAGTCTTGCTCCTTCAGGAGAGGAGACTTTAAAGCAGAAGGAAAATCAAAACTTAAAGCTGACTGACTTGCTGGTAACCCAGGGAAGGCTGTCGACATGCATGAGTCAGATTAGTTTTTGCATATTAAATTACACAAGACGTTTGCAGCTGGATTCATCAATGTATTTATAAATCAGCCTTACAATTTTGCTTTAGGCAGAAATCTGGCATAGAAGAGCTAAGGTAGACAGCATTTTAAAAAAAAGTCTTTGAAAACGAGGGAAGAGAGCAGAGGGTGTTAATATGGCCATTGTAAACTGACAGAGCAATGAGTTATACATGTCTACTCAGGGGTAAGCTCCATTGAGTTCAGTGAGACATACTTCTATGTAAATATGCATAGGATTTCAGCCAAAAGAAACTGTGGAGTCAAAACATAGTATAAACTTAAGTGGCAGTCTTCTTAGACTTTGTGTTATAAAAGGGTTAAGACGTTGCTTTCCCCACAAGACATAAGATTAACTGGTACATGCAAGAAACCCATGCATTATTTCTTACACTTTGCCTGCAATTCTCTTGGCTATTAACAACAGCAACTATTGTCAGATAAAGAAACATTTTAAAAAATCACTGAAGTGCAAGGGGAACTTTCTAGTTTAGGATTTGCATGGTGACATCAAAAATAGGGTAAAAAATAAACAATAATTTGCTTTTCCATTGCATAGTTACAGGCATCTATTTTTTCCCCATTTTAGACAAGATCAAGGATAGCCAACTTGATGCTCTCCAGTAGCAGCAAATTAAGCTAAATTAATTATACACCACAGAACAGTGCAGAATAGGCAGGCAAGGTGGGAGGAGTCATCCCAAGATGCTAATCAGGGATGCCTTAAAAAATCCTACTCAGCCCTGATTGCAACTGGCTAATCCTGTGCTGGGCAGGTTGCAACAAAATAGTGGGGCAACAAAACAATGTATTGTACACCTGCTCCATATCTCCTGACCTGCCTGCCCCTGTTCAAATAGTCCCGCTTAGATGCTATATACAGAAAGCTGTGTTACGAACTAAATTAATGATAAACTAAAACATTGTAACCCATCTTTTGCACCCAGGGCATTGTGGTGGTAGTGGGATATACAGTATGAAGGCAGAAGCTAGTGTTTGAGTAGTACAATACAACTTTTAAGAGTGTTGGCCCCAGCATGGAGGGAGCACAATTTGGGCTTTGTTTCAGGTGGCAAAATGGCACAGGGCCCATTGAATGAGAAAGGGAAAACCAAGCCAGTTCTCAAACATCTTGGATAAAAAGGACAGGGCATACAGATGAGCAGGCTCTCTCTCTCTCTCCCATTTGTATACATCCTGTATTGTTTCAAAATGACTGGTTGATGTGTTTCTTGGTTCATTTTGACATGCCTTCTTTTCTCCAAGTCATAGATGAAAAATGGATTTTCAACTGAATAAATTGTGGCAGGATGTGTTCCAACAAACAATCACTGTGTTTTCATAATGCTCGAAAACCCCTGGCTGAATCCAAAGGAGGTGGGGATGGAGACAATTCGATGTAGTCAAAATGGACACTGCCTCGATGCAATGTATATTAAAAAAATATGACAAATGCCCACACAGAGGTCGCCTGAATGAAGTCTGCAGGCAGATGGAACCTGCTCTGCAACAGAATAGATAAACATGCAATTTTCTGCTTTGCCTAGATTTTAATTGGTTTGATTGAGCCAATCTTTCTTTTAAAAAATATCATATCCCAGAGGCAGACACCTGGTTTGCAGTTGGCCAAAAATCACGAATCAAATCAGTGTAGCTGCAAATGTATTTGTGTAACTTGGGGACAATGTGCTTGCTCCCACATGGGGTAACTAGAAGCCAATCTTTGTGCTTTGGGGTTTCTTTGTTTTGTAACAGATAATGAGAACAATTATCTTTATCAAGATGGTTGAGCCTCATTCATCAATTCCCTCAATGGAGCATCAAAATAATATGGGTCCTTCCACTTGACCTAGAAAGCTGAGATTTGATGCACATATAGTGCCAGAGATTCCGATACTAGCAGTAAAGACAATTTGAGAAAGTTATTATTATTTATTCTAGCTTGTATGCTAAAGGAGAAACTGGGAAGCTTGATTGCTCATTTTTAAAAAATATTTTAAAATATGTAATGTTAGCAATTCTTTTAGTAGTGTTTGCTCGGGAAAATGCTGGACATTCAAGCTCTTCTGCCTCTGCCACATTACTACACATCCACTTCTGTCAAATAATATTTGCAGTAAGTTTTTGTGACTTTCAGTGCCATTTGAACAGAGCACAGGCCTAAAGCTGATTCCTCCCCACATTCATCATAACACCTTAGCTCCTGTACCCCTCCTTCTGAAATCTGGCAGGTTAATTTCCTAGTAACACCTCTACAATGCATCCAGTGTTTATACTAAAATCATTACCCACAAACACACATGGCAATAAATGAATTTCTTTTAGTTTTTCTTCATCCTCAAAAATGCACTTTAAAAATGTCTAGCCCAATTTTAAAGGTGTCTAGTCCCAAAGTCCCAAGGTTTGTTTCTTTTGTGATTTAGCAGTTTCCCCTCCCTTGAAAAACAAACAAACAAAAATAGATGGACCTCTGTGATGTTTGCCATTTCCATATAAATTCCTACAAATTGCCCATAAAGCAATAGAAGAGATTAAGTGAATTGTCTTAAAAAAACCCACAAAAAACACACTCCAGAATTGTAAAGGCTATACTTAAATGAAAACAACTGTAGCCATCCTTCTAAAATTTTGTGGAATTTATCACATCAGAAGATGCTACTATGCCTACAAATTTAATCTGATTCTACCTCTTCTACTTTATTCTTATTATTGCTTCCCCCGCCCCGCCCCCAGCAACCTTCTCAATGCATTCAGGATGTCCACTTTAAAGAAACAAGGATCTGCAGGTAGATAGTATACATTTCTGTTTTATGAAATGCCTCTTTTCCTTCTTGTGAGCTTTAGCATGTAATTTAGGGTTATCATATACCTGCAAGATTGAAAAGTTAATAATTTAAGATCTGAGGACTCCCTTATGCCCCTTGCTTTCCTTGACATTTTTATGTCTGCATCAAATTTTGATATCTACATAAGTCTATAAAAAAGCAATAAAAAAACATGAAACAAAGGCATTTTCTGGTGAATTTATGAAAGTTGGTAAATACCATAAATCATCTGTAATGTCTATTTTCAAAATTACCCGGTTACTTTGTTGACAACATTGAAGGCAACTTATCTTCATGGGATGTACGTGCACTTAAGCACTGGGACCTGTAAACTAATATGTCTAGTCTCATAATTTTCCAAGCACATTTTACAATTTGGAAGCTCAGCAAAAAAAAACCAGAGGTTACTACATTGCTATCTTAATTCTAAAGCTTGTCACACTGTTAGTATTTTACAAAGTTTAGAAAACCAGTTTCTTTGAAACAAGGATCCTTTTTGCAATCTCAATTGTAAGGCAACATAAATGGGAAGTGCAGGACCATCCCAAGAATTAATTCTCATATTTCCAAAACTAGGAC